TGTTGTTTGTTGTAATTTAAATTCTTTGCATAATAAGGATACAGTTATATAGTTAACCCGATGTAGAACCCGATCATACATCGGTTACGTAAAAATACACCGATGGTTGGTCGGCTATATGTCATGAAGCAAGTCGATAATATATTGGGCTCATTTCATAACATTCATTGCATGTTTTTCCTAGGTTGTAAGAAATGTGCGGATTTTGACAAACTGGGTCAATTTGTGTACGAAAACCGGCAAACGGATTCACGCGTACTGCGCAGTTGTTTGGAAATACTCCTGCAGAAACCAACAACGTTTGACTGCAAGAGGTGCCTTGCAGTCATTAAATTTAGGGCCACGGTTAATGAATTTCACCAGTACGACAGTACATTAGTCTCAATGACAAATGAGCTGGGATTAAAGGTGATGCAAAATGCACCTTCGCAATCGGTTAGTGTTTATTTACCATTCTTTACAATATTAAAAAATATTCCATTCACGTCTTACATGATTTCAGGAAATCATGAGTGAAGAAGAATACCGTGTAAACAGAAGGAAACGGCAAGTGTTGCCAAAATGCAACAAGAAAAGTAATACTCCAGTGTCACGTACCAGACGTGGAAGGGGGCGGAAAGGCATTGTGATGTCAAGAGGAAAAATGAGTGCGCGTAGTAGCGTAACACCGTTATCTGATGTAATTGTAATGTATTAGTTGGGTTTATTGAATAATAATACTCACGTCATGTTACAGGATCGAATTGATAAACACATGAGGGGTTCAGAGTCTTCAAATTGCTGCTACAAGAGGCAACCAAGTTTGGAGTACGATCCAATTGCAGAGTTGTACAAGAAATTTGCGCTCTACAAACGTGATGGTAAATCATATACTTATTTATACGTTACGTTACATAAGAAGTTACATGTACAAGGGGGAAAATCTTATTATTTTTACGTATAGGAACGCTGGCGTCCGAACCTCCAAAGATGTCGTTGTTGGAGAGTACCCCTGATTGCGTCATTCAATTTGCGAAACTCATGGTATGGTCACTTGAAGGACAAATGGCCATGTTTGCAAAACTGATGAGAAAACCTGCAAATTATAATGGTATGTATGCAAGTCTTTACTATTTCCAAAACTGTCAATATAAGTAGTTTTCAAAACTCTCATAACAGGGCCACACAATAACTGGACAAAGGAAATATGCACATTTGTGTACGATGAGGGGTTTGTCCAGTTGTCTGGACATGGTCTACGCTCTTGGTGCAATGATTACGAACATTGGGCAGTACCAAAACGAGCTGTTCCCAGAGTTTTGTCAGAATCTCAAGTGAAATTTCCAAATGTATATAGTGGCAATGTGAACACTGACGACATTCCAGCCAAGGAGAAAGTTAAAATAAAATTAGGAGAGGTAAATTCAGTGAATTTTTAATGTTTACTTAAAAATTTTTGTATTTTAAACCGTTCTTATTTCTTTTACAGGAAAACAAAAAGGTGGAGTGCATTATGATTGGGACAAATTTGGAAGAAGAACCAACTGGGATGTGCGGGTTATTCATGCGCTGTGACGACCTAAAAGATTTAATTTTCCGTGTCCGTTTGCATGTACGGAGCATGTTGGACATTGATGAAGACACCAGCAATGTCACTGAACAGGTACTTTCACATATGAATCAATTTGGATTGAGTGCTTATTATTAATGTAACGAAACGTTTTTTTCCAGGTTCTAAAAAAAAACCAAAAGATTTTCTACAATATTCTGATGAGGGCTCTGTACCCTGGGAATTCATCTGCTGGTTTCCTTGATATAGCAGATAATTTGCGTAATTATGTTAAGAAAAGGGGAAGATTCAACCTATTGAGAGAGGAAATTGTGTTTCTGCAAGTAAATCGAAAACAAAAGACAAGTGAGTAATAAAAAATTGTATGCACTGTTGACAAGTAGTGACCATGGAACACAAATTTTCAGTTGCCTTTTTCCCCAAATTACTTGACACCGTGCTTTGTGAAGAAATACCGAATATGCCATCATCAAGCGGTGGTGATCAGGATGTTTCCTGGATCATTGAAAACAAGTTGCGGAATGAACATTTGTTTCACGAAGATGGCAAGTACGTGCTGAACGACTTCAAGAAATGGGTAAGTGAACCGTTCAATTTTAAACTCCAGGAACTATACCGATGTAACAACGCCAATGATTGTAACTGTTGATAAGAAGAAGTTCCTGTACGCCAATGTTGCATCGGCGAAAGGAAACATGTTGCCAATTTTCCATCGGCTAAATAATACATTTACCGTAAATGGTGTAAAGGGAAAATTTTACCTGCTTAGAATAGAAAAAAAAATTGTTAATTAAATTACTTTTTAAAGTAATAACATAATCTCCATCTTCATACATTAGGTACAAAATTCTTTCGACATACATGCAAGGACAATCATTGGGAGACATGTGGAACACATGGGATTTTCGTCGTCGCAATTCACCTCTTTTCGAGATTGGCATGTCAACGTATATAATCCTTGTTCAAAGTTGTGGCCGGATTTATTTCCGTCAAGAAACACGTTCAAGCGTGTTTCAGAAACCTTATTTTAATGTGAGTGCGCACGGTTCCGGTGGTGATTGTTTATTTGCGAAAGTGTCGTTCGGTGATGATTGTTTATTTGCAAAAGTGTAATGCGTTTTTGGTTTGCGAAGAACTGTGTTTAAAAAGTCTGTTTTTTCAAGTTATGCAAATCATTTCGAAATGACGTCATATTGTATAAAATGAACATTTGCGTTTTCGACAAATGTACAGTATTAAAATAATGCATCATGTATTTCATAACTTACTGCATATGCATTTCTATGCCTAATCCTGTGTCGTGTTGTATTCGTGTAATAAGTATAATAATTATACTTCTTCTTTTTTCAGGTATTCACTACTGTTACAAATACGCGCACCAACATAAATACTTCACAAACGTCATATTGTGATCATCGGGTATGAGTGCTCTCATTGGCGAAGGTTATAGTTAACATCGGCGTAATTTTCATAATATGACGTTGTGATCATCGGGTATGTGTGTACTCATCGGTGAGGTTTATACTCAACATCGGCGTTATGAATGATAATAGTGTGATTTCCGCTATACATAAGTCCGCTGTGTGAATGATTATTTCAGCAGAATCGGCGTTGTGGGGAAACATTCCGCAGGAAACTACGAGAAAATCCTTGCCAGTTGTGATATTTTCAAGTATGTATTCTTTCTTTCATTCATTCACGTATTCATTCACGCATTCACAGGAAAATGAAGAGTGTGTATAGATTAAGTGACTTTGAATATCGTGCTTTAATATGTGCTTTACAAAAGGAAAATAACACAAAAAGCGGAGAAGAAATGTCTAGACAGACATTTGTACGACTGAGAAAACGCGTGGAGGGTACTATTAAGAAAATTTTGTTAGATGAGAAAATCGACCGGGCAACAGCACTTAGATTACACAAGTATGTCCCAGGTGGCGTTCTGGAGCGCATAGGACTATGGAGGTTAATGATGACAGAGTTGAAAAAATTTCGGGTTTTCACTGCTACACGTAATGCTTTAATGCGTGAACTCC